GAAAGAAAGAAAGAAAGAAAGAAAGAAAGAAAGAAAGAAAGAAAGAAGTCATATAAATATATATATATATACACACACACACACATACACACACACATGTCAAATGGTGGCTTTCTCTAGTGCGAGGTGGGGAAGGAGGCAGGGAGACAGTTCAGAACTTAAAATGTAACAAAAAATTAATTAAATTTAATTTTTTAAAAAAGAATAATACCTATGATTGATGTTAAGTAAGGAGATGTAATTTCACCTAAAATCCATCCATTTTGATTTGCAACTTTCATGATCACCATTAAATCATTACTTATTCCTATTATAAACACATATTGGTAACATTCTTTCTTTGTTCATTTTAAGTATTTGGAATATTATTCTCATATGATATTTGTTGTTGCTCAGTCATTTGGTCATGTTTGAGTCTGTATGACCATGGGGTTTTCTTGGCAAAGATACTTGAATTGTTTGCCATTTTTTTCTCCAGTTTTATGCAGCCAGGGGTTAAGTGATTTGCCCAGGGTCATATAGTTGGGAAGTGTCCGAGGTTAGATTGGAACTCTGGTCTTTCTGATCCCAGACTCAGTGGTCTATCTACTGTCTCTTCATATGATATACATCACCATAATTATTTCCTATGATTTCTAAGCCTTCTTTGCCTAGATTCCCAAAATAATTAAAGTCTTTGATAGCAAACTGAAAATAATTTATAAAGAGTCCAATTCACCATAAATCCAATAGGTAATAGATGTAGATGCAATGGAATTAGAGAAGAAAAAGACTTCCATCTAGCAAAGACTACACATCTGTTGTGTACTGAAAGCCAAGAACAATCTTAAATGAAGTTCTCATTGCTATGTTAAGCGAGGAAAAGGTCATTGGCAATATCTGCATGACCAACACAAGTAGAAAAGGTCTTGCTTTTCCCTGTGGTGTTTCATTTTCACACTTCACATTTATATTTACTAGGAGTGCCCTTTACTGGGGCTGGAGGTCATCTCAAAGTAGCACTTACCACCAGGATAAGTACAGTAACTTGAGTGGGGACATTTGCTCATGGGAAATATGCTTATGGGAAAGCCAGCTGTGAAGGAGGCAGCTAGGTGGCTCAGTGGATAGAGCACTGGGCTTGGAGTCAGGAAGACCTGAGTTTAAATCCAGCCTCAGACATTTACTGGTAGCTAGGTGATGCCATAGTGCATAGAGTGCTGGGCTTGGAGTCAAGAAGATTCATCTTCCTGAGTTTAAATCTGGCCTCAGATACTTACCAGCTGTGTAACCCTGTTTGCCTTAGTTCCCTCATCTGTAAAATGAACTAGAGAAGGAAATGGCAAACAGATCCAGTATTTTGAACAGAGAACTCCAAATGGGTTCACAAGAGTCAGAAATGAATGAAAAGCACAACAGATACTGACTAGTTATGTGACCTTGGGCAAGTCACTTAACCTCTGTTTGCCTTAATCCATTGGAGAGGGAAATGGCAAATTACTCCAGTATCTTAGTCATGAAAACTCCATGGACAGTACGGTCTACCGGGTCGTGAAGAGTTGAACGTGACTGAACAACAAACTGAGTGGGGACAGTTGCTCATGGCTGATATTTGCAATGAACTGTTCTTAGTGCATGCAATGGGGCCACTGGATAGACCCTTCTATTATGGGCTCCAAATATAAGCAATAAAGAGCAGATGGTAAAATTTAGGGAAATTTGCGTGACTTATAACATGATTCTGTGTCCTAGTTATCCGTTTGAGTTAGATCCACAAGGAGTTGGGAAATACCCTTTCTTTCCCCTCAGTGGTAGCAAGAGATACTCTTATCCCATATCCAAATTTCAGAATGCTCAGTTCTAACAGGACTCAGTTCCTTATTCAACAAACACTAATTAAGCATTTCTTGCATATGAGGCATGGTACCAGGTTCTGATGAAATCTACAAAGATACAATTTCTTCCTTTGAGAAACTTTGAATCTAATCAGAGGAGTCAAGTACACAAATAATTGTGGCACAGTGACTTAAACATGGTAAGTGTATAATAACTGTTTTTTCACTCATACAAAGCAGAAACTAATAAGTACAAAAGAGATGGGCACAAATGGTGCTATAAAGTTTTAGAGTAATAAGGGAACAGATCATAATGATTCATAAGAAGGTATTTTATTTAAACTCAGTGGTATTTTGGAGCTAATAACTGATTTTCACTGAATTTTTAATTATCATTTTTCTAAGTACATATTTGTCTGTCATGACATATATCCATAAATTTCTAAAGGACTATGTTTGTTTCTTTTTTGCTTTATATTGCCAGTAACTAAGATGATGGCTGGTATGTGTAGACCTTAACCAATGTTTGCTGATTGACTGACTGTCAGTTGCTCTGTTTTGGTCATCCTGCTCCTGGACTTCTCACACTGGAAGGGTCGTCTGCCTCTAGGGTACCTTCCTCTGACTGGCTGTTTCTTCCCAAATCCTCCCCATTTTAAGGAAAGTATCCAAGCCAGACATCTCTTTATTCCTCTTTCAACTCCACTCTTAACTCCTAGACTTTCTCTACCATGCCCTTCTCCCCACCCCCAACACAATCCCATTTTCCAGCATCCTTTTAGATGTTTTTCTCAGCCAATAGAATATAAGCTCTTTGAGTGCAGAGATTGTCTTTCTCTCTGCTTGTATTTGTATTCCCAGCACTTATCACAGTACCTGGTACGTAGGAAACACTTAATGAACGATCATTGACTTGATTTGATGATTTACATGTAACACTTAAGGAGTCATGGACTGTGCTCCTTGGGCTTAAACTTTGAAGAGGATTTGTCACAGCACCAAACTCATAGACACTATTGAGTGACTAGATTTCCTGGCTCTCTGTAAAAAGCTAACTCAAGGAAAGAAAGCAATGAAAAAGAGGAAAAAGTTATAAAATTCTGTCCCCTAAAGCATATGTGATAAATATTAAAAGTTTAAAAATATAACTTACAGGAATTCCTTTAGCTGACGTTCTCTCCACACTTATAAATTGATGCACAGCAAAGCACACCAGGTACGTGCTCATTGGGACAGACTTCATGAAAATGGTTCTGTTCCATTTGTCATCCACGTGCTCTGTTCTCTTTAGAAAATGAAAAATCATGTTTTATTTGTTAGTATCATCATCATTTATGCCTAGATCAGAACAATGTTTGCCCATTTATTATATCTCTTGTGAGAAATTCCTTACCCAAGTTTAAGAGAAGAACACATGTAATAAATAAAAGATTATAGCGAACAAGATTTTTTTTTAAATTGTCATATCAAGAATGAACACTACTGATACCAAAGTGTTGTACTACTCCAAGACAGTGGGTTCTTGAGAAAAAGTGAAATGTATGTGGGTCAAATGTTTTGTTTTCTTTCTATAGATAGCAATGATGATGTGTGGGGATCTGGCCTTGGAGTTAGGAAGAATATCTGGATTCAAGTCTTGTCTGGACATATGTGCTCTGTGACACTCCATATCTCTTTACCTCTCAGTGAGCTAAATAAGTAAGACTCTAAGAAAAGGTGCCCACTTGCAGTGGTAGTTAAAATGTCCTTATCTGAGAGCTCCCGATGTCAGTGAAATTACAGATCCATTCCCGGTCCTATGTCTGCCCCACCCCCACCCCGACACACACACATGCAGAGACAGAGACAGAGAGAGGACCATAATACAAAAAAGAGGCTATGGCTTGTGGCTTACACAAAGTAGCTCCTCAATACAAATTTGTAAATTCAATTGGATTTTAGCAGAAGGGTAATCAATAATCATTTTCCTATATATGAAGAGCATCTTGCCTCTTCCAGCCTTTGGGGATGTGGTAATCGGGGTTGTCTGGTTACCTTGGAGCCAAAAAGGAAACACCATTACCTAACAAAGATGTAACTGGAAATTTTGTACCTGGGGCAAGTACTACAAACCATGCCCAAAGCAAGTGGCATAAGAGACCACTGGGAGGGACATCAGGCTGTGGAAGGAATAGAGACCCCAGGAGGCTAATGAAGGGGATGAGTGTGGACTGTCTACCTCTAAGATTTGGATGACTTTCTAATTAATTATTCTTTCTTTAAAAGCTAGTGATGCATTGTGTGATGACTAATATTGATAAACTTAACCCTTCCTGGCAATACAAGGATCTAAGACATCTCCAGAGGCCTTGTGATGGAAAATGCTATCCACATCCAAAGAAAGAACTTGGAAGTCGAATAGCTATTTTTTTTTCTCTTCCATTGAGTTTTGTCTCCTCTTTCTGATGGTTCCTTGTATTGGTTTTAATTTTTACTTATAACATCACTAATGTGAAAACATGTTTAATATGAATGTAAATGTATAGCTTATATCAGATTGTGTGCCATATTAGGGAGGGTGGTGGGGAGGAAGGGGGAGAAAAATTTTAAACTCAAAAGCATATGGAAGTGATTATTGATAAATCAAAATAAATTAAGAAAAAAAAGAAAAAAAAAGTTAGTGACGTTGGAGGCAGCTAGGTGATTCAGTGGACAGAGGACCGGCCCTGAAGTCAGGAGGACCTTCAAATCTGACCTCAAACCAAACACTTGACACTTACTAATTGTGTGACCCTGGGCAAGTCACTTAACCCCAATTGCCTTAAAAAAAATTTAGTGATGTCTTTTGTTTTTAAATTACCTTCATTTGCCAATATATTCCCCCCTCCACCTCTGAGAGAGCCATCCATTTTATAAAGTCCTTTTTTATGGGAAAAATTAATTCAATAAAACAAACCAATGTATCAGTCTAAACTAAAAGTATATTCAGAGTTCCACATCCATAATTCTCCCACCTCTACAAAGATACATTCCCATAGGTTTCCTTCAGGGGTACTCTGGTTATAATAATCTTACAATATTTAATTTTGATTAAAAAAACTACTTTGTTTTGATAAACCAGATACTTAGGTCAGTTGTTTCTCCAACATGTGACATACTCAGAGCCTCATTACTGGGAAGTTAGGGCATGGGGGTAACCCCTACTGCAAACAGATATTTGGTGAGAGAGGAGCGAAAGAGGGTTTGTGATAGCATCAGGGTTCTCTACTTCCCTTCAAAAGAGATTAGTTTTCTCTAAAAAACAGTAAAGCCATCCCCAGACTTGTTTGACCTAAAGCTTCCTGATCATGTAAGGACATTTAAAAGTTACCACCTACATGGAGTCAGTGCCCCCTCTAATTCAGTGGATGTCTGAAGACCATCCTATCACAATACTCTGCTTACTGACCGGACTTATTTTCATATGGAGATGAAGTTGAGGTGGGGGGGCAAGAGTCGAGTTTATAGAAACTATGTGTCACTATCTGTATCTTTGTTGCCTACTCTTCTTGCATTTAGGGCAAATTAAGCCTCCTTTTCTTTTTTTTTTTTTTAAACTTTTCAATCACTTATGAGGGTCTGATTTCATCCCAAGATAGAACTTGAACTAACAGGTGCTGGCATCAGGCCTGTCCCTAACAGAAGGATTGAAATCAGTCCCTCAGTCTCAAACCCTGAAAGTGTAATGTTAGCCCTGGAAGAGTCCTTAAGGATCATCTAATCTAACTTCTTGGTTTCAAAAGAGACCACAGAGGAAAAGAAATGACTTGCTCAAGGTCACGAGGAAGGCTCATTCAGCTCTTAGTGATACTGAGGTACAATCAAATGGAATCCAAATCCTGTACATTCACAGACCTCTACCGCTGGAATGAACTTTAGAGACAGCATTGTCTGTGTAATTGGTTAGTTGTGTCCCACTCTTCGTGACCCCATTTGGGGTTTTCTTGGCAAAGATACTGGAGTGGTTTGCCTTTCCTTTCTCCAGCTCATTTTATAGATGAGGACCTGGGGCAAACAGGGTTAAGCCACTTGTCCAGGGTCACTCAGCTGGTAAGTGTCTGAGGCCAAATTTGAAGACAGCTTGGTCTAATTCTCTTCATTTATGGAGGAGGAAATAAAGACTAGGGATTACAGTCAGAGCAAGAACCATAGCAGGGGTGGGGAACCTGCGGCCTTGAGGCCACATGTGGCCCTCTGGGTCCTCAAGTGTAGCCCTTTGACTGAACCCAAACTTCACAGAACAAATTCTCTTAACAAAAGGATTTGTTCTGTGAAACTGACTCAGTCAAAAGGCTGCGTCTGAAGGCCCAGAAGGCCACATGTGGACTCAAAGCTCCAGGTTCCCCATCCCCAGACCATAGTTCTCAAGGGCATGTTCTTATTCCCAGTGCAGACCTTTCTCAGCCATGTTGTTGAAATTTGAGCTCCCCAAATATTGAGGGGACTCTTCCAGAGCAGGGGATCCTGGTCTCATGAATGCAGATAAGTACTAAGCAGGAATAAGGGTTTAGTTTACCTGGTCCTTCCAGGTGCACCTTGGCCCTAAACTCAGCCTACCCCACTCCCTCCTCACCTCAGGGAAATTTTAAGCAGTTTGGGAGGACAGTTTCCAGGGGAAGAAAAATCCCTGAGATGAGAGAAGGCAGAGACATTCTTAGGAAAACATGGCTCTCCAACTGTGGTTTAGGGCCTCTTTCCCTAGTTTTGCCCATTTTGAAGTGTCCCAAACCTTCAAGCCCTTATTTCAGAGCAAGGAATGCTGAGAGATGATGGAATTCTTAGATCTAAAGAAATATTTTACCATTTCTCAGGTGGTCTGCTACCCCCATCCTATCAATTGCCTTCCCCACAGATTACTGAGGTAGGTGCCCCTCAGATGATGTCAGTGGAGAATAAGACCACCCCCACCCCCAACCCTCACACAGTTGGGTTTTTTTGGTGGTGTTGGTCAGTAACACAGAAGTACATGGGCATAATTTGTAAACAAATATGGCTATGTTTGGAGGTGCATGCTCAATTTTTTTTTCTGATTAAAAAGTTTGGAGACCACTGACTTAGAGGAATAAAATCTCCTGTCTATGGTGCTTTATGCCTCCCACCTTTGGGTAAATTTCCCAGTCCTTGGGGCAATTAATTGCCCAGTAGGGACAAAACCCAATGTCCCTGCCTGTAAAATGCAGAGAGTACTAAATAGACTAAATGGAGCAGATAATAGAATGTAAGCTCTTTGATGACAGACACTGCCTTTCTACTTGCTTTTTATTTCCAGCTCTTAGCATGGTGCTTGGCACATAATAACCCTAAATAAATGCTAGGTCACAATAAATGCTAGATGAGCTTTAAGTGCCTTTCTGTACTAAACCCTATGTATTTATGCATTTAGATAAAGAGTTAATTCACACATATGTGTGCATATATAATGTACTATATGTATAATATGTGTAGTTAATCTGTAATTTTTTTAAAAGGTCCATCAATAGTAATTTGCTTTTAGACCAAGAATACTGGGTCATTGATCTTATTTTTTTCTACAAACTCCATAATTAATTGTCAGTTAACTTTCAGTTAAGCTGGTAGAAAGTATATTTTCAGATCAGCAAAAAAGAAAAAAAAAACCTACTGATTTAGTAGATTCTGTTGGTTCCAAAGAACCTCTCCTGCAAGGGGGAGGAACAAAAAAATTGTGGCTTGAGGAAGCTACTAAAACCCTAGTAAGAATAGATTGAAATTATACTATCAGATTAAGAATTCCTCCAATGTTTTCTCTTCCTTATAAAATATTGATGTTTTAATTAATTTAATATTCATGATTTTAAATATTAAGTTTTGAAGATTCTGAGATTATAATCAAATCATTACTGCCAATGGTCCTGGAAAAGCTGTGTCAATCTCCTATACTATGACTCCACTCACCATTTCTGTAACTTTCCAAACCAAAACATACCTCATTGAAATTCCCCTGCATGTGTCATCTCCCTCTATCAGAATATAATCTTCTTGAGGTCAGGGCTTCATTAATATATTTGTATCACCAGCACTTAAGAGTATTGGGTACATAATAAGGCTTAATAAATGTCTTTTGATTAGTTATTTAATTAATTCAAGATCTAAACCAATAGAGGGAATATTCATTAGTCTATGGATACTTTGAAATATTGAAGAATTTTAAAGCCTTAGCAGGCAAGGTTAGAGAACCCTTTCGATTTGTATCCAGACTATCTTTATGAGTAGCTTTTATTTTGTTTGCATACTCACCTCTACTGGCATATTTGAAAGTGCATTATATTCTTTTGGATGGACGATAGATATTGTGTAAGTTGCTTTTTTGTTGGGCTCATCAAAACAAGGAAATGATTTCCGTGCATCTGTTGGCTCGTGATCTGTAGCTGCTATGCTCCTGAGAAACAAACAACCAAACAAAATATATGTTGACTCATCTCAAGACTCAATGGTTCATGTCCCTAGAGAAGACAAATGACATAAGCTTTATTCTTAGGTGACTTGGTGTACTGTATAGAGGGCAAGCCTGGAAATTTCAAATAATAGCATTACACACACATAGTAAATGTGTGACCATGGTCAGAGAGTTTCCCACAATAATGAAACCAAAGATCCAGACTATCGTGCCCTTAATCCTGCCCAAATGCACATCAAATAACTGCCAAACTTCCAGCCCTGAACTTTCTCCTAAATTCTATTCCCATATTCCCAACAGCTTATGGACATCTCCACTCAAATGTCCTATTGGTACCTCAAACTCAACATGGTCAAAGCTGAATTTGTCATCTCCATTTCCATCCCTCCAAAATAGATTCTCCTCTTGACTTTCCTATTTCAATTAATAGCACCCCCATTCTCCTAGTCATTCAGGTTCAAACCCCTCATTTTTGACTGCATAATCTCATATTCAATCAGCTACCAAGTCCTACATGTTCTACTTTCAAAGTATTTCTTACATGTGCCATCTCCTTTCTCATTCCATTCTGAATCTACTGCCCAGACTAGTTTTGTCAACTCCACAAAAGCTTCTCCTCCCAGGTTAAACTCTAATCTCATCTCCAATCTCATCAACATTCCCATTGACTCAAGCCTGGACTGACATCACCTCCCTCAGCCCCCTCTGATTGGAGGGGTACAGGATGGAGCACCAAACTCCTCCCAGTGCCTTCCTTTAAAGAGGTCAGAAACTGTACTTTCAGGCTCTCCACTCTGCATCGGCTACCCTGACTGTTTCTTATTTCAACATGGTGAAACAAGATACTCCCATGCTGGGTAACCTTTATTCACCCCTCCACTTTCCTGCCCCTTTTGCGTGTTGTCTCCCTCCATTAAACTGTAAACTCCTTGAGGGAAGGAACTTGTCTTTCTTTTTATTATATTCCCCAGGACTTAAACACAGTGCCTAGCACAGGTAGACACTTAATAAATGTTGATTGGATTGGTTTGGATTTCCATTCCCACTGCCAGTTCAGGACATCCCTTGCTCAAAAATCTTTAAAAAATAAGTTCCTTAATTTCTTGAACAGAGCCCTCCACAAAATTTGTGCCTCATCTCCTCATTCTCCTCTGTATACTCTATATCTCCCCCAGTTTGGACTTTCTTATTGTTCCCTAAATGTGCCCTGTCAATTTCTCACTAATTTCCATTTGTTTATGCCATGTTCTCTGCCTGGATTTTCCTCTTTGGTAGATCTGTCAAAATCTACCAAATCTTCAAAGCCTTGTTCAATAACACCTTGTTCTTTAAGCCTTTTCTGGGTCCCTCTACCCCAGGTGTAACCTACCCCTCCACCATACTCTTGTAGCACTGTATCAAATACCACAGCCTGAACTCAGAATTATACTCAAGGCATTGGTGATTTTGATTTATGTCTTTTAATAGATGGTAAATTTACTGAGAGTAAAGGCTATGCCATACTTACTTCTGTATCACATAGAATGCCTTACACATGTCACTGAGTTATTTTTCAGTCATGTCTTACTCTTTGTGACCCCATTTGGGGTTTTCTTTGCAGAGAGACTAGTGGTTTGCCATTTCCTTCTCCAGCTTATTTTACAAATGAGGAAACTGATGAAAGTTCTAGATGAGAGTTAAGTGCCTTGGCCATGGTCACACAGCTAGTAAGTATTTAAGGCAAGATTTGAACTCACAACAAGTCTTCCTAACTCCAGGCCCAGTATTTTATCCACTACCACCTAGCAGCCCCAATTTACACAAAGCAGGCATTCAGTAAATATGTCTTGGATTGTACCAAAGTTTTCTCAAAATTTTAGCTTAGAAAAGAAACAAAAGCTTTGAGAAAATCCTCAGATTAAAGTGTCTGGGCATGGTGCATAGGTCAAAGATTCATCAGGACATTACGGAGAGAGCACTAGACTTATAGTCACACAATCTGGCTTCAAATTTCAATTTCATTTACCTCTGTGACACTGGGCAAATCACATAACTTCTCTAGGCCTCAATTTTCTCATTGTTAAAATTAGGAGGCTCTTTGAAATTATTTTTATGGTCCCTTTCAATTCTTAACTCTTAAGACATGGGAGAAGAGTGAGGGGAGAAGCATGATTCTGTTTAGTGGAAAGAACATTAGATCTGGAGTTAGCAGACCTAAGATTGAATTCCAGCTGGAATATTTATTAAGTCTCTGACTTTGGGCAGACCACATATTCTCTAAAATAGGGGTTCAGAACAAGGCCCTTGTAAAAATCTGGTGAAACCCATAGACCCTTTCTCAGAATATTTTTTTAGGGCACAAAATAAAATACTAAAGTAACAAAAGTAAAATATATTGAAATACAATGATCATTTTTTTTTAAAGTTCACAGACCTGAAATTGAATGAAAAATCCTCACTCTTTACCCTACTTTTAAATGAGAGAATTAGACTGGCTGATTCAGGAAGTCTTTTCTAGTTCTAAATCAATGAGAAGATAAACAAGCAATTGATGCCACCTGGTTGAGAAACAAGAATCCCAAAGAAACCAAAGGGGGAGAGGCTGTCTCTAACATTCCTTAGGAGGACTGGACAGCTGTGTGCTGTCATCATATGGGAGTACATTCCATTGTCTCAGCCCCTCTCCCAAATGCCACATTCCATTTTACATGGTGCTGGGGACAAAAACCAGAGTCCACCCTATACAGAAAGCAGAGTTTGGAACTGTCCTGCTTGTATATTAGCCATTTGCTTTTTTTTTTTTTTTTAAAGCCAGAACAGAAGACCATCAGCCAGATTTTTTTTGGCCTCCTCTGGCTTATGAATATTAAAGTGTAATATTTGATGTTTCAAGCTGTGTAACTCCGAGCAAATCACTTAACCTCTGCATCCCTGAAGAATCTTTATAAATTACAGAGCAGGCACTGATTTGCTTGCATTGGTAGAGAGAATTTCCTGGTCAGGAGCTCCCTGCGCTGATGAGATCCCAGGTCCAATCCAAAACACACACACACATACATACACACACGCACACACACGAAAACATGCAAACATGCACACATGCACACTCATCCCTAAACATATACACACGTGCACACACACGCACAAACACACACACACACACACACACATCACACCACACACAAAATAGAATGGAAATAAAAGGATCTTTTATTTTTCCTCTGAATAAATACTCAAAATGTTGCTTCATTTAAGGGAAACAAGATAGAGTATTAAAAAAAAAAAAAGCAAAAGAACCAAAGGAAAGAAGGGCTACTGTTCTCTACATTGGTGATTTGTTTTTGTAGAAAACTTTGTTCTTTTTTTTTTTAATTTAGCCAATTGGGGTTAAGTGACTTGCCCAGGGTCACACAGCTAGTAAGTGTCAAGTGTTTAGTCTAAAGCTGGATTTGAACTCAGGTTCTCCTGACTTCAGGGCTGGTACCTAGCTGCCCCAACTTTGTCCTTTCTTAAGGACGCCAGAAAATGATCTCTTTCCAACTTTACAATCACTTCTTGGAGGGCAAAAACTATGCCATATATTTCCTTAGAGGTCAGAGTGAGTCATGTATTAGTACTGGATGCTCAGTAGAAACATAATAAAATCATATTGAATTTAACTGTAAATATTTACACAGCAAAAAAGTTTATTTATATTGATAAATTCAGTTATGGTGCCATAGTAACACATGTATGCTACATGCCTAGAAGGCTTTCTCTCCTCATCTCCACCCACTGGCTTCCCTGGTTTTCTTTAGTTTCAGTGAAAATCTCGTCTTCTACAGGAAGCATTTCTAGCCCCTCTTAAATTTAGTGCCTTCCGTCAAGAAACTGTTTTTTATTTATCCTGTATGTAGCTTGTTTGTAAATATTTGCTTTCTTGTTATCTCCCCCATTTGATTTTGAGCTCTTTGAGACTAGGGACTATCTTTTGCCTTTTTCTTTATCCCCAGTACTTATCACACAGTACTTGTTTAATAAATACTTGTGACTGATTGATACATTAACAGATATGATACCATCTCAGAGTCAGAAACACATACATACACACATGTATATACATGTGTATACACGTGTGTATGTGTATACACGTATTCATATGTATATATATGCAATGCATGTGTGACATACATATGCCTGCATTTGTCTTTATAAAGATAGGTACCACTCTTGTTTTTCAATATTATATAAAAAAGCTACCTATAGCACTAAGACAAGAAAAAGAAATTGAAGGAATATAGGCAATGAGGAAATAAACTTTAATTTTTTTGTAGATGACATGACACATAATATACATAAGTTGCTATGTATATATATGTATTTGTATATACATATAGGCACATATACTTAGATACATAGTATACATATGTTGCTATGTATATGTCTGTATGTATATATGTGTATACACATACAGACACATATAACTTATGACCTTGTCGTCTAAGACTTTTTTCAGTCGTGTCTGACTCTTCATGACCCCATTTGGGCTTTTCTTGGCAGAGACACTGGAGCGGTCCATCATTTCCTTCTCCAGCTAATTTTTCACATGAGGAAACTGAGGCAAACAGGGTTAAGTGACTTGCCCAGGGCCACACAATTAGTATGTGAGGCCAGATTTGAATTCAGGAGCATATGTCTTCTCGAATACAGACCTGGCACTCTCTCCACTGGCCCACTTAGGTGTCCCTGTCTCTAAGACTGTAAGTTGCCAGTCAAGTATTACTCTACATCAGTAGTGAGACTTTCCTCACTGAGAGTTCCCCATGCCTTAAGTCTGAACAATAATAAAAAATTATGCTTTAGAATCTTTTCTCAGTCAGGCCCCAGAAATAACAAACATATTCATAAACTGTGGACGGTCTGTCCCTTTTCAACCCTTCCTTCAGACACAGCATCTGCTGATTCTATTTGTGACTTCTAACAGTTCTGCTAGTGGGCTGAAGGTGATGGCAGCCGAAACGGAG